GGGGGGCGTTTTCTGTTTCGTTCTCTGTGTGGGTGGTTGGCGACCGTTTCTGGTGTGGTTTGTTCCTTCTTTCTATCGAACATCTCTTCTCCTTCTTTTCTTTGTTTGTTACTCACTAGTTACACCTCCAATCTTCGGCACTTATAGTATGGCGTACTTGTGTTGCGAATGTTGTGAAACTCTTACCAAAACAAAAAACAAAAACGAAAAAAAAAAAGACCCAACACCCCCCCCCCACCCCCAAATATGGGTGGTTAGCGGGTGCTCTGGTGTGGTTTGCTCCTTCTTTCCTATCAAACATCTAGCATTCTTCTCTCTCTCTCCTCCTTCCTTTTCCTGTTTGTTACTCTCTTGGTATACCTCTTATCTTCGGCTCTTATATAACCTCATTGTGTTCCAAGTGTCGTAAAATTCATCTCCAACCACCCCCTCCCCCCCCAAAAAAAAGGTAAAAAAGAAAAGAAAAGAAAAAAAACAACACCAAAACATTTCTTGTGGCCTCTGACCTTTTGCTCTGTGCTTCCCCCAGCAGGGCAAAGTCTCCAGTGCGGCCATCTTCTCTCAGGGCCTCCCCTCCCACCTCATGTCAACGCCCTTCTCCACGGCTGGCAGCCAGGGGCGAGCACACTACCCACTCCACCACCAGGGCGGCCCGCTGTCCGGGGGGAGTGGCGGCTCATCGGCCTTGACCCTGTCCAGCGTGTCGCAGCACACAGGTGGCAGCAGCGGCATCAGCAGCATCAGGGGGAGGGAGGTGAACAGCGGGGACCCGAACCCCATACCCCAGTCCTTCATGCCCAGGTGAGTGTGTCATAGGTCACTTTTCAAAATGGTTTAATAAATAATAAATCACATATTTATTGATCCCAGATCGGAAATACTCTATGCAGCGACAAAGCACAGCTGATTAAAACCTGCAAATTCTTTGCCATATCGACAGACCGAAGGGCTAGAACCCAAATGGCCGCTGGATCGGAAAAGTAAAGTAAAGTAAAGTTATTGATCCCAGAAGGTCAATTTGGTTTACAATGGCAAACATACATACACACTTAAATACATAATTATAAACACACACACATATCATCACCTCAGAACTTTTTTGTCCATCTTCATCATCGCCTTTCTCACCCTGGATCAGGATATAGGCCACGAACAAACTCTTTCCACCTTTCCCTATCCTGGGCTAGTCGCTTGATGTCACTACACGTCTTCCCACTTTTCTGTACATCCATTTCCGTGACTCTTCTCCAGGTTCCATGTGGTCTTCTCCTTGATCTTTTACCCTGTGGGTTCCAATCTAACACTTTCTTTGTTATGCAGCTGCTTGACTTCCTGAAAGTGTGTCTAGAGTGTACTTAAATAAAGAGGCACTTTGGACAAAATAGCGACGATATACATACATAGTTACACAATATTGCACCAATACGGAAACTATCTCACAACCATGCCATTGCTGGTCGCCACTGTGCAGCGCCCTGCTTTTTTTTTAGCTAGGGTTGTCGTGTCTTGCTCAAGGACACTCCCTGGTGACCACCCGTCTGATCCCTGTGTCACCAACCCTTGCTTGACTTTACTCTTGAGTCTAAACCCACAGCTCACTTAGTCACTGGAGCCCCCCACAAACATCTGTCGGTGGGTGGTTGGCGGGTGCTCTGGTGTGGTTTGCTTTTTCTTTCCTATCAAACATCTATCGTCCTTATCTCTCTTCCTTTTCTGTGTTTGTTACTCTCTCGTAAAACTTCTAATTTTAGACACTTATATGACCTTATTGTGTTGCAAGTGCACTAAAACATAGAACAAGGTGAAAAAAGATTTGTCATTGCTTATCGTGTCTCCGTTCCCCGCCAGTCACCTCAACACTCCAGTGGATTCTGTGGCTAACAGGCTGAGGACTGTCTCCATATTCGGACGCCAACGAGAAGAGAGAGGAGGAGGTAAGTAGAAATTGTTACAGTTAATTAGTTATTGTTTCTTTTTCTAAACCTTGCATCATGGAGCTTATCATCATCATCATCATCATCATCATCATGTTTCTTTTTCAAAACCATGCGTTATGGAGCTTATCATCATTATCATCATCATCATCATCATCATCAAATACCAAACAATTCCCGTCTTTTTTTTTTTTTTTTTACTAAGCCTAGTAATTTGTATCATTTTGACACATTTTTACGTAAATTACAAATATCGGCACCAAAATCAGGTCATTCTGAGGGCGCGTTTGTTTTGCTGACATAACGCTACCGTAGAATTACAAAGTTATATCTGACATTTTTGGCCGTTTTGAGTTATTAAGACCATGAGATGAAGAATTAGATGTTCTATCTGCTCTATCAAAATGGCAAGATTATGCAGAGGCGTTATCAAAATTTTTAAAGAATTGCATTCGAAACTCTAAATCTGTGACGTCAAATTTCTCAAAACTAGGTACTGAGCAGACAGGACTTTGTAATTCTGAGATAGCGATAAGGCAATGAGATTGTCTACGTGTCTTTTCCAGGAAAACCCCAGTCGTCCCGAGGGCCCGTTGAAATGTCGTCTGGAGGAGGGGGCATGTTGGTGCATCGTGGAGACAACAGTGAGACATTTGTTTGTTTGTTCATTGCTTATTTGTTACGGATGTCTGGGGTGTAGCCGGTTAGGCACTTAGCCATCGTAGGCACGAGACCTGAGTTTAATTCTCCAGTTGGGAAAAAATTCTTTTTTTCCCATTCCCCTTGTTTCTTTCTGTATATTTTGTGGTTGGAGGGTGTCACTGGAAGGTCCTTCTGCTTTATTTTCCCTGTGTTGCATCTGCCTGTCTGTCTCGTGTTTTTGGTAAACGAAGCGGCTGTTATTGTGTTGATGTGCTTCTCGTTACTCAAATGTGCCACGACGCGGCGGAATCAGGCGCTCGTCTATTTTTGGGCATGTTGAGTTAATGGTGTCATCCTAAAGCTTGTTCATTTGTCTTGATTTTAGTGAAAAAATAACCATCTGTCTTGAAAAGAAGTCGAGATAGTTCCGATCGAAGAAGGAATGGTCTTCTGATTTCAGAGGTAAATAAATTGAGAAAATGGCTGCAAAAGTTTGGTAATTTCCACAGCTTGAGAATCCTTGAGAAATGAAAATTTACATTTTTTGTGTCTTTAATCAACGGTTTTCAATATAATCCAGACAGAAATTAGTTTTTAAATAGACATAAAAAATGTTGAGCCAAAAAAACAAAAAGTCTAAAAAAAATTGCCTAATCGGTGGAAAATGCCGTATCTTCGATTTCATTATTTTGATGAGTGCTTGATTTCACCACGATGCCTCACAAATTTAAGTTGTTACAGAATGTGTCCCATGTTTTTTGGAAATGAAATTTGTCTTTTCCTGCCTACCACAAAATTACACCCCCCACCTCCCTCCCACTCATAGTTTGATTGTGAAAATTGTGAAAAAAACCCACAACAGGACATTTTTAAACAAGATGGCGAGGAATTTTGTTCCTTATAAGATTCAGGGTATATATTTTTTTTTTACCTGAGTTCCCTTAGACATTTGATAGTATTTGAAAATTTGTGAACCAAATCGAAAAGGTAATGTAAACATTTGTGTAGAAGATTTTGTAGATGGAGTTTTTTTTTTGTTTAGTTTTTTCTTATTTTTGCGGAAAAAAATAGAAAAGATATACATTTTTGTGTATGTTTTCCCCCACAGCTTCGTTTGAAATCTCGGAGCAGAATCTGATCAAAGACCTCATCTTCGTGCTGCAGGGCATAGATGGACAGTGGATCAAAGTGGACCCCTTCAAAGACATGTACAAAGTTGATTCAGAGGTAACGGTAACGATAATGATTATAACAGAAGAGCACAGGGGACATATGGGAGTAGTCACAAACTGAAAATTGTGAGTGTATCAATTTTGAACTCTTGTTGACTCATATCTCTGTATTTCTGTTGAACAGTTGGTTGATTGTTGTTGTTAGATTTGCCATTCAACAAACATAACAATAAACCACCAGTCAAACAAAATTCTATGAAGTTCTGAGTCCACAATGTCAAGCTTTTAAAATTTGACACCCTCACAATTTCCAGTTTGTGACTATGCCCGATTATAATAATTATTATAATAATAGTTATTATTTTTATAATTGAAATAGTTATTATTAAACAAACATTGATAATGATCATAATAATGATAGATTGCATTTATACAAGGCTCTAGCCCATTATCCCATGCAAGTATAAACTCTGAGTGTTTTTACATGGACTCTGCTGGTGGTTGGCGAGTGCTCTGGTGTGGTTTGCTCCTTCTTTCCTATCAAACATCTATCGTAATGATCTCTCCTCCTTCCTTCCTATCAAACATCTATCGTAATGATCTCTCCTCCTTCCTTCCTATCAAACATCTATCGTAATGATCTCTCCTCCTTCCTTCCTATCAAACATCTATCGTAATCATCTCTCCTTCTTCCTTCCTATCAAACATTTATCGTAATGATCTCTCCTCCTTCCTTCCTATCAAACATCTATCGTAATGATCTCTCCTCCTTCCTTCCTATCAAACATCTATCTTAATGATCTCTCCTCCTTCCTTCCTATCAAACATCTATCGCAATGATCTCTCCTCCTTCCTTCCTATCAAACATCTATCGTAATGATCTCTCCTCCTTCCTTCCTATCAAACATCTATCGCAATGATCTCTCCTCCTTCCTTCCTATCAAACATCTATCGCAATGGTCTCTCCTCCCTTTCTATTTTGTTTGTCATCTACTTACAACACCTCTAATCTTTGGCACTTATAATTTATTATTATAACCTTATTGTGTTGCAAGGGTTGTGAAACTCTTACTGAAACTCTCCTTCTGGTCGTTCTGTAGATCGGCGTCCCCAAAGGTCAGAGAGGAGAGCTGCTGAAGCTGTCGGAGTGTGGCTGGCTGTACAACAAGATCAAATCCTACGTAGATCACCACAGCACAGACAAAGCCTTTGGTCTTGTGGGGCAGGCAAGTAGGGGAAGGTTTTTGAGTTAATGGAGTGGCGGGTTTACGGGGGTATCCGTTAACTCTTTATCTCCGACAAGCCAAGCCGCTCCCAGCGGCTTGTCGGAACCGCTGTGCCGGTGAGGCGCTTGGCAGCGGCTCGGGCACATTCCTTTAAGGTGACTTCGACGTGAAATTACTTTTCGGCAATTGCCAAAAACAGGTCTCTTTTACCAGGAGCTCATTCATGAGATGAAGAACTATTAAAATAGGCTCACTTGTTTTGATTTAATGACCAATTTAGTGATGCGTATGTCATTTTTAGATTTTGTCCCAAAGGAGGGCCCCGGCATAGTGGGTTTACCCCCTTGGAGATAAAGAGTTAATGGAAATATGGGACAGTGGAGGTGTGGGTAAGTGGAACTACTGGATAGTATTGTTGTTTTTATTATTGTTGTTATTATTATTATTATTTTTATTATCGTCATCATTATTATTACTCCTACTAGTATTATTATTATTATCATTATTACCACTACCACTAC